GTTTTGTATGCTCTGGTTAGTAGTGTGATATTACCAGAGAAAAAGCTACGTAGGATTAGGTTAACAACTCTTAATGCCTTTTTGGCTATGTAGTTGCAGATATGCAATCTGGGAATTCTCCTGGATATCCATAGACCCCCTCAAATCCTGGACATAAACTGTTTCAACTCTTTCCCTCAGGATGGCACTGTAAGGCATTGCATGGCAAAACAACTAGAAACAGAGACAGTTTTTCCCCTCGCGCCATCACTCCGCTGAACACCTAATTCCCACAGCACTGTCCTATGTTTAAGGATGTTTACCCATGTAATGGGGCTGTATTATTATTATGCTTCTCATCTTTCCTACTAAATTCTCCTACTGGTATCTTATGTTTATATTACTTTGTTATTTGTACGTACACTGAGAACTTATGTATCAGAGAAAAGTTCCTTGTGTGTCCAATCACACTTAGCCAATTAAAAAATTCTATTCTATTCCATTTCCATTTCCATTTCCATTTCCATTTCAATCCATTCCATTCCCATTCCCATTCCCATTCCACTCCACTCCACTCCACTCCACTCCACTCCACTCTACTCTACTCTACTCTACTCTACTCTACTCTACTCTATGATGTATCACTCTTGCTGGATCAACAGATAGAAGTCCTGTCCAAGAGAACAATGTCTCTCTCTCTCTCTTGATCTCCCTCTCCCTCCTTCCAAAACTCCAAGCCATTTGCAACAATTTCAAGCCACACAAGTGTTCAAATAAAATGTTCCCAGCAGGAGCGGAATCATACAAAATTCTACCAGCATAAAATTGTAAACATTGTAAAAACAATCAAATTGGACATTATTTCATTCTCCACACCCTCTTTGGAATCACTCAACCTTCACTCCATTTTGGTTGGAGTCTTTTCTGGAGTAAGATGTGCCGACAGGGTAAATCTCTCCTTGTTCAGTTTCCATCCATTATTCCTTGTCTGGCCTTCAGGTGCTTTAGAAAATAGCTTGACCCCTTCCTCTCTGTGGCATCCCCTCAAATATTGGAAGACTGCTATCCTGTCTCCCCTGGTCCTTCTCTTCCCTAGACTAGCCATGCCCAGTTCCTGTAATTGTTCTTCATATGTTTTAGTCTCCAGTCCCCTCATCATCCTGGTTGCTCTTCTCTGCACTTTTTCTAGAGCCTCAACATCTTTTTTATAGCATGGTGAGCAAAACTGGGTGCAGTATTCTAGGTGTGGTCTTTCTAAGGCTTTATAGAGCGGTATTAGTACATCACTTGATCTTGATTATATCCCTCTGTTAATGCAATTTAGGATTGCATTAGTTTTCGAGAAACTTTCTGACAGTGAGAACAATCAACCAATGGAACCGCTTGCCCTTGGAAGTTGTGGGAGCGCCATCACTTGAGACTTTCAAGAAGAGATTGGACTCCCATCTGTCCGAAATGGTGTAGGGTCCCCTGCTTGGGCAGACGGTTGGAAGGTGACCTACAAGTTTCCTTCCAACTCTGATTATCTGTTACCTGACTACAATGGCTCCTGCAGGTGTCATCTTGCATTGGACTACTATAATTTGCTCCATCTGGGACTGCCCTTGAAGGCTGCTTGGAAGTTATAGCTGATGCAAAGTACATCTCTTCACAGGAAGAAGCTGTTATAGCAGAATAGCACAAATATTGTGTAAGCTGTACTAGCTGCTGGTTTGCTTCTGGGTCCAATTCAAAGTGCTAGCAATTTCCTATAGAGTCTTAAGGCTCAGATCCTTGCTATTTGCAAAAGTATCTCATTCATGTGGAATTCATTTGCAAGTTGAGAAGGTGTACTGAAACTATGCCCCTTCTCTGACCATCCGAAGTGAGTGTGGTAGATGTTTGACACATATACAAGTATAGCCATTTTCAAATAAAGTTATCCAAGTTACAAAACATCATTCAAGATGATGGAAAGCACAAGAAAGCTGCCAAGAACTCCAGAAGGATTTCTTTAAATTCTCTCCGATCCTCATTTGATCTGATAACATAATTAAAGCTCAACCTTTGAAACCTTGATTGTTGATTAAAAACCTTGACTTGACGATGTCTCATTTTGCTGACTGAGAAATTCTGGGAGTTGAAGTCCTCAGGTCGTAACGTTATCATGGTTACCTAACTACATGATCTCTGTTGGCTTTTGTCACTAACTGATTTAATTACTTCTTTTTCCTTGGTCTTTGGAAGGATGGGGCCTTCCTCAGCTTGAGTTCTTGGCTCTCATGGCTAAAGAGAATTGCATCCCTAACCTATGTGGAGATTCACCATATTAATTCTTCCTGTGGTGACTTTAGGAATAGGAGGGGATTCCCCTTGGTGAAGGTGTTAGCAATTATCATGCAGACTATCTTCTTCTTTATTACTAAAATGATTTGAACTTTATTGACCTACTTCTAGAACTATTCTTCTTGTCGCAGCCTCTGTCTTCGATCTGGCTAAGTAAGAAAGACCCAACTTCTTCATCTGAGTTCCTAATTTCCTTCCAAGTTTTTGCTCTTTTAAAAAAGAAATGCTTTCTGTTTTGTTGTTTATGTTGAGTAGCGCAGGACTGCCTTGTGAATAACCCATGGATTTCCGGAAAACATAAAAAGTGCTTAGCTTTACTGAAAATCTTATAAAGTAGGCTGAGTAAGGGAACTAACCCAATACTCTTGGTCTACATGTTCTTCCAAAAAATTGGAACAGCAAATAAGATTGGCTACCATTCCAAATCCTTTAATGCAGGGGTGTCAAATTCAAGGCCTGCATGCCAAATCTGGCCTGTGGGGTGCATAGATCTGTCCAATATTTCAAACCTATTTTCATATAAAGGCCATTTGCTAATGACTTTTACAGCTATAATTCCCTTGAAAGTTTAACACAATGCTATTACTTGTGAAAAGTAATTTCACTGTGATAGTGCTTTTTAATTAGAAACTTACAACTGCATTTATTACTCTTTATTTAGAAACACCTCCTCATGCAGATGTCCTTTCCTGCTGTGGAGTTTTGCTTATCACTGCTTTGACCTCATTAAAATCTTGTTTAAGAACAACGCCCTATCTTTAAAGAATTAAATTGTGATGCAAGGAAAGTACCCATGGATCCAGTGGTGGGATTCAAATTTTTTACTACCAGTTCTGTGGGTGTGGCTTGGTGGGCATGGTGTGGCTTGGTGGGCGTGGCAGGGGAATGATACTGCAAAATCCCCATTCCTGGGGGAAGATTACTACAAAATCCCAATTCCCTCCCCACCCCACTAACCTGCTTTACAGCTCCATTCTCCTTTGTAGGGCAACAAAAAAAGACCCAGCCGGTCAGCTGGGACTCAATGGTAGGCAGAGAATAGATGGGGGCGGAGCCAGTCAGAGGTGGTATTTGCCAGTTCTCCGAACTACTCAAATTTCCGCTACCGGTTCTCCAGAACATGTCAGAACCTGCTGAATACCACCTCTTCACAGATCTCTTGATTGCCCTCTTTCTCCTGATGCAAACAGAGTTAGGAATTGATAAAGAAGAATATTTGTAGTTCAGAATTGAAATGAGGGTCCCTGGTGCTTTCTGAGTTTGGTTGTTTCCTTGCAGACATTTCATTACCAAACTAGGTAATATCATCAATGCTAGTAAGAAGTAGGGTTTGCTCTCAATTTATATTATAAGTTAGGAGTTTCTCCACCATCAT